TTATAGGGGGTAAATCTGGGGGCATCTCCGTAATTCCCTTAGAAGGTGAACAGTCAAAAATTGGCGGTAACATCACCACCAATGGAAGAGTGACACATGTCACATATGCCACGTCACATCTGTGAGGGGAAAATGTTTTGGTAATTTTACCCTGCCACGTGGTCCAATAAGAAAGTGACACGTGTAAGCCTAGGGTTAGTCCAAAATGGACCAACCCTTGTTTGACACGTGGCATTTCAAAGAAATGGAAAAAAAGGCGACCTTCATGGCCCAAATCCCGAGAAAGCCGCAATGCGGCACAGCCCACCAATGATAAGGGCTCGATGACCTAATCAGGGGCACAATTCTCCAGGACCCTATAAATAAGGAGAGTTCCTCCATTTGGAGGCACGTTTTACCATTTATTACACAGTTACTCTTAGATAGAGACATCTCGAACTTTGAATCCGAGCAGATACCCACCTAAATTTCCGCACCTTTTTACTCTTATTCAAGTTAATACCTTGATCGTCGGAGGTGGAGCTCCAGCCGACCGGAGTCTCCGTTGTTTTGCATGTACAGCTCACGCCGGACCAGACTTTGTGATGCAACTCTCCCGAGGGACAAAAACACCCAAAACATGAGGCTTCGAAGTAAGTACTTTAATTGTTTAATTGATATTTGATATAGAAATCATATTTAAATAGTTATTTTGATTCATAGTATCATGTTGGGATGCTTTTCCTAGTATCATGTTTAGTGTAAAGAATAAGTTTCTTATATCAATTATGATTTCTATGATGCTTCCTATTTTCTTTCCTAATAGCATGTTATTATCGTGTTAGGGTTAAAGCTTTGATTTTTTATGTTTAGTGACATGCTAGGGTTTGTTATTAATCTTGTTAGTACCATGCCTAGGATCTTGCTATTATTATGCTTTATTTTTAACAGGATTATTTTAATTATGATTATTATTATGATTATTATGATTATGTATAATATTATGTTGCTTCATGTTTATTGTTGTTATTGTTTGATCACACCTTTTATGCATGTTTAAAGGGAATTAGTACTTGCAATCATGCTTAATAAGATAATTAATAATCTTGTTTAGGGTTAATATGATTATAATTCAAGTGATCGCCAATAATAGATTTATTTGTGCATTAATATTTAACCAGCATAGATAAATAGGTTTAGGGTAAACCTATTGATTGCATGTTAGTCAGAAAGCGCACATGAATACGAGCAGAATAAAGTAGAGGTCTATCATTAGGGCAGGTTCTTTCTCTTTCAGACTGGATTTGTACCTTCATCCACGAACTTCAAGTCTTGGTTCCAGACCTATTGGTGTTAACGATATCTTAGATCGTTAAGGGGTGTGACCTTCACCTTGTGAACGGTTTTACAAGTTCCTAAAACTTGTTGGCGACTCTTTTGCTCTAGCTTCCTTCCTTTTGGACGCCACCATGCTTACGTGTATGATCACAGTGGGGTTCAAGTTTAGGGTAATTCTTGAAATATTCCCTACAGAAAGGCTTTCCTATCAATCCCCTTAATGTTCATTATTGTTTCAAAAGCTCTTACGTAAACATAAGGATTTTCAGTAGGTTTGAACCTAGGGATGTCATTGTCATTGAACTTCTGCGGAAGAAGTTCCTTGTCCATCGAGACCCCTTGTGAGCTAATGCCCTGGAATTTGTAGTCATTAAAGAGCTGGTTCAAGCTTTCCTCCATTCATTGCATTTGTAGTTGTCTCCCAGGGTCATTGACTTGAAGAGACATAGTCTTTATCATTTCAGTTACATTAGTCAAGTCTTACCTAAGTTGACTGACTTCATCTTGAGGTGCCATTATCCTCTTAGCCTTTCTCTTTTGACAAATCTATTTATCAAAAAGAGAGATTTGAACAAAAGTGTTGTCCTTGATTAACCGACCTTCTCTTCTTGACCAGGTACTGTAAATTAAACCATTTGTTTTAATGACTTGACTCAAATTGACTTTGATTCTATTGGTTTTAAAAAGAAAAAAAAAACAAAAATAGGGTTCATAAAGGGAATCAAGTTTAAGGTTTAAACAAGTATGGTTTAATTGGAGAATTGATATCCAACTTACCCCACCTAAAAAAATGACGGAAAACACGCGCACAAAGACTCTCTAGACATGGTCAATGTGAAATATAAAGTGTGTGCTTTTAATAGTGAGTGAAAGTGGCATGCTTTGACACTTGTGAAAGACAATGGGACTATGTGCTTAAACTCAATTACGGACTGAATATATATTCCGACTTTTAATAAATTTTTTAATGAGACTCAGCGTGTAGACTCGAGCATGAAACTGGACTATCGTTGAAACAACAAAACTCTGTCGCATCGCGCTGGACTCTAGCGTGTCACGTCACAGTCAAAACTCCTGCGGCATTACTGGAGCAGTCATCTGGGTCTGTTTCTAATATTTTACTCTAAAAGGACGGGCCTATAGTCGTACTAGGTCAAGTTTGATAAATTCATTTAGTCTCATATTAATTAATTAATTAATTAATTAACCAAAGTCCTTTAGTCATTAATTAATTTATTTAGACTCATTCACAAGTCAAAAGAACGGTTAGTGTAGGCACACATAGGCTATGCACAAATAAGAATGTACAAATAGTAAAGTAAGCACAATATGATGCAATGAGTTTGCAACCTAACCATGGCTCTAGTTCTCTAAATTGGGTTAGTCAAAGAGGGTCCATGGTTATGAGTCCGGATGCACCGCGTGGAAGCCTTACCTTTGGAAGGGTTGGCACGAGTGAATGGGACCCCGCGAGTTAAACTCACTTCCACAATTTGGTGAATTCAACAAACTCGGATGTACCCTTTGTTGCCATGAACGTTTGATTGGGTAGATGGAGCGTGAATTCCCATAGGGTTATTGGCATATGTAGAACACATATGGGTTTAGAAAAGTGAGAAAACTCAATCAGGAAGTAGAACCAAGCAAATAGTACCAGAATCGGTCGAAACAAAGAAGGTAGACTTCTGGCTCGGTATTGGAAGAACATGGCGCGAGACAACAGGGCATGTCGCCGTAGGAAAGCTCTGTTGCCAAACAAAATTGCTGTCGCACAGCGACAAAGCCACCGCATGGTGATAACTCTATTTTCGCAGCGCCTGTTTCTACATGCCTCAGCAGCTTTCTGTTCTTCGAATTTTCCGATTTTTCGTAGCGTTTTTTCAATCCTAGTTGTGAAAGATATTTCCTACATTTCCTACTTGTAAAAATCCTACGTTTTCGGATAGTCTTTCCAATGCGAACCTTTTTTATGCATATGTCAAGAATGTCAATCAAAATTACGCACATGAATAGTTAAAATTTTCGAGTCTCATCCACTCATTCTAAATTATTACCAAAATAAATTTTAGGAATTAAAATAGAAATCCTCCCAAGTGAAGTCGCCAAAAAACTCTATGGATTATTTCATGCATCCCACACTTGAGCCCCACTGTGATCATACACTTAAACATGGTGGCGTCCAAAGGGAAGGAATCTAGAGTAAAAGAGTCGCCAACAAGTTTTAGGAACTTGTAACCGTTAACAAGGTGAAGGTTACACCCCTTCACGATCCATGAGATCTCTAGCTTCATAGTGGTCCGAAACCATGACTGCATAATCGGGGATGAAGGTACAAATCCAACTTAAAAGAGATTGAACTTGCCCTAAAAATAGGCCTCTACTTCATTCTTCTCATATTCATGTGTACTTTCTGACTAACATACAATCAATAGATTAACCCTCAACTTGTTTAAGCTATGTTGGTTGAATATTAATGCATAAATAAATCTATTATTGGCGATCACTTAAATTATAATCATATTAACCTAAACAAGATTGTTAATTATCTTATTAAGCGTTATTACAAGTACAAATTCCTTTTAAACATGCATAAAAGGCGTGATCAAGCAATAACAATAATAATAATATATCAAGCAACACTACTACAAAAGTATGGAAAAAGGAACGCGTACTACACAACTGTGAAGTTAGATTGGCGATCTCTAAGATTTTATAGAACGCCTAGGTAAGATGAGCATTTAGTATGTTGAATCTTACATAACGCCTCTCTAGTTAACCGGTCTATTTGATTTTTAATTTTTTTTTTTTAATAATATGATTTTACATAAGGAATGTCTTTCTTGGCTAACCGTTCTATATGATTTAAACATAATTAAAAAAAAATCAGATAGCATTATATTATAACCCTAGGACAACTCTCCTCTTTATTTACTCTTAAATTTTCAACAGCCGCTCTAATCACTATCATAGATTTCCTCTTTCTCCCCTCTTCAAATCTGTTTGTAAATTGCTAAACCACGTCCGGTATTTACCGGGTAACGCCCGTATTTTAACATGACTTTACAAACATCTCCCCATATAAAATTGACCCTATTCCACTTTCACTTTCACTTTCACTTTCTTTAACCACTCTCTAACTTGTTACCCCACCAACCACCAAACAACCATCACCTACGAACAACCACCATGTCATATTTTTTTTAAATATTTGTTTTACACCAATTAGCACAAACGGTGAATGAACGAGTTTAAGGAAGCAATGACGCCACTAGAAATATCGTCGGAGCATAGGGAGTCGGTAAGTGCTATGAATTTTTTTATTTTATTTTTTTTCGTAATCATAGAAGGAACACCTGAAATTTTAGAATCACCCTTGGAACATTCTAACATTTTAGGCGTTCAAGGGGGGAAACACCTGAAATTTTAGAATGTTATAGGGGGAAACGCCTGAAATTTTAGAATGTTCGAGGGGGGATTCTAAAATTTCAGGTGTTCCTTCCATGGAACATCCTAAAATTTCAGGCGTTCGTCTGGAACGACTGAAATAAAAAAAAATTAAAAACAAATACCTGATGCCAACCCCCTTACCTTTTCGATTGATATCGTCCCTTGTAGCCAGTCGCAATCCTTGGTGGCGACGGAATTATGGTGGCTTTGTTTGGTGGTGACGAAATTGTGGTGGTTTGCTTGGTGGTGGTGATTTGATTGGTGGTGTTTGTGAATGAAATTTTTAAGGTGAAGAGAGAGAAAAGTAAAAGTGAAAGTGATAGAGAGAAAATTGAAGAGTTATTTAAGAAAGGGTTACTTAAGGGAGTTCATATAAAAATACGGGCGTTACCCGGTAAATACCGGACGCGGTTTAGTACCCCCCAATCTGTTTAGAGTTCTTCCCTTAATGAATTTGATCCTAACTGATCGGGTCATTGATAGAGAAAGAGATGCTCGATCGTCCTTAGAGAAGCTTGACAATGGCGAGCGACGCGGACGCTGATGATGATGAAACTCCTCTGTTGATTTCGCCGCAATTTCTCATTGCTCCAATGGCCACGATCGACAATTTTAAGTTGGTCCTTTACTCCTTTTGAACTATTTCAAATCCGTATCAATAGATTGAAGTCAATTAGATCCAATTTCAAGGTAAATCATTCATCTTTATTTTGTTAAATTTCATTTAAATTTGGTTTCAGATCTTGTATGGCTTATTTTTTTTCATCCACTTCGAATCTATCATTATTTAAACATTTATTTTTACAGATATATGATTGAGATTTGAGAGGTTCGTTTTTCTTCTTCTCATGTTGTGCCAAATTAAATTTCAAATTAATCATAGCTATTTTGGTTGAACACTTTTGCAAAAACCCAGCAGTGTTTGGTATATGATTGAAAATTTTGTATTGATATCGTTAAATCCAAATTATTATGATTTCCATTTTTAATGTTGGATTTTGCTTGATTCTTAATCAAATCTTAATTTTGATGTTATTTTGAAATTATATTTCTCACAATTGTAGAGTTTTGATTGGATTTTGCTTAAAAAAAAATTTCATCGTTAATTGTGTTAACAGTCTAGGAGTTTTGTTTTAATTGATGGACATGTTTTGTGGATTAAGTGTTTGATAGAAGAATTGATATTTATACTTTGTATTTTTTTTGGTAGTTGTGTAATAATGGTATTTTTTCATGTTAATACAGATTAATCATAAATGAGAAGATCAAGTACTATGCTTCCAAAAAAAAAAAAAAGAAGATCAAGTACTGTATATTGTAGATATGATTCATTGCGGGACAACAACACAACTTTGAAATGATAAGAGATTCTTGTAGTTTTTTTTTTTTAAATCTTGTTATTCCTTTTTCATTTACATTTAAGTTGTATAAAAAATTTATTAATTTAATAGAAGTTTTGATAACCTTTTGTATTTCCACTATTTATTTATTTATTAAGTTTTTCATTTGCAAATTAGCTGCCGAAGTGCCTAGTATATCGCAAATGATTTTGTTTGTTTTTTTTTTTTATTAAAAAAAGGAGGAATATAAAAATGTTGGAATACCAAACCGTTCTCTATGGTAAAGGAAAATAAAGCATCTAAGTGTCATGTCCGATCTCTTTTCCTTCATTTTTTATCACATTTTAGGTAGGGAATAGAGAATTGTGATCAGACACAACCGTTCTTTATAGTTGACTATACAAAACGCCTCTTTAAACCGTTCTATAAACTTTATACATCGCTTAGCAGAAGAACGGCCCTTAAGCGATCTATACAGCCTATTTCGACCGCTCTCTAAGCCCTTTTTTGTAGTAGTACAAAATAATAACTATGATCATCATCATCATAATCTCAATCTCATCAAAGCATAATAATAATAATAGCAAGATCATAGGCATGATACTAACAAGATTAATAACAAATCGTAGCATGTCACTAAGTAATAAAGATCAAAGCTTTAACCCTAACATGATACTAACACGATATTAGAAAGAATAAGAAGCAACCTGATGTGTCTATTTTATATAGTATTTTACCCCCGTCCCTTGGTCATAATTAGTAGTGTTTTTGGCTCTTTAGAGCCACTTTTATTACTAATTGGTGTTTTCTATTGTTTTCGTAGATTTGGTTGACTTTTGCAGAGATTTGCACTTTTGGACCATTTTCCCGAGATATTATAGAGCAAATACGAGCACCGGAGAAACACGACCAGTTTTTATAGCCCAGGGCCGGTTAGAGTCATCGAACCGGTGATTAAAGGCTCGGTATATGTGATACCGGAGCATTTGGACCGAGTATTCAAGACCCGAGGAGGAAAGCCAGATTGGACCAGAGGAAAGCCAGATTGGACCAGAGGATTGGAGCCCAACCGTAGTCTAAACAGTATCCCAAGAGAGCCGCCCAGCCAAAAAGGCTGGCGCCCGGAGGCGCGCCCAGCCGGGCGAGAGAAGCAAAGGTCGGCGCCCGTTGACGCGCCCGGCCGGGCGCGAGAAGCGTACTGACGAGCAAAAAGGCACGCCCGATTGGGCGCATGTAAATATTAGGGGTTAATTTCGTCGTTTAAGTTTGTTTTAGTTTAGGATTTGTACGGAGTATAAATACTTCTCCGTAAAACGATTTTAGGATCTTCTTACTCTCTTTCTTTTACTCTCTTGATTATTTTCTAAGATTTTCACTCTCTACTTAACTTTTAGCTTAATTCTTTCTCTTATACTTTTATTCTCAACTTTATTCTTAATTCCAGATTTGTTTTGGTAACGATTTCTCTTCTCTTAATCTTAGTTGTTTATTTTATTCCTTTGATCATGTCTTGTTTTACTGTTTTGATTAGTTTAGTTTCTATTATGTGTGAGTAGTTCTATTTCTAGGGTTTGTGGGGATCCATAAATAATATGAAGGGGTAATTTACTGTTGTTGATTGTCAATGCTAGATTAATTTCCTATTGATTGATTTAATGATCTGTGACTAGATTAGGCCTGATCTTTTATGCATGAGTTTGACAATATTGATTCGAGATTCAACAGATAAGAATTGATGTTTAGGTCTAGTTTCAGTAGGCAGGTTAAATTATAAATGGTTAAGTCGAGATTCGAAAGATGAGATTTAATACCGGTAAATTAATTGTGTGATTATAATACGTAGCGAAATCCCTTTATAATCTGATTAATGTATGCATTGATGATCTATTATTATATTCTACCCTGGAATATTATTTATTGGTGAACGTATGCCCTAGATCCTTTTATATATTATTTTCTCCTTATTCTTAATCTTCGTAGTTTAGTTTCACATTCAAATTCACATATTGGTTACCTCATAACCTAGATTATATTAGTTAATTAGGAATAGAAAGACTCGTTTCTCTGTGGATTCGACCCTACTTCCTTATCTACATTAGTTAGAGGATTTAGAAATTACTTTTGATTTGGGGATAGGACTTTACCATGTCAAAATTTGGCGCCGTTGCCGGGGAAACGATTTTATTTTTATTTCTGATTATTTTTAGTAGTCTAGGTTATTTCTTTTTGTCTCAGAGAACGCTAGTTCTTTAAGGAAAATCTCATATTTGCGTTTAGTTTTTTGTGTTTATGCCCAGGTGTTCCAGATCAGGGTACATCCCATTCGATCCTGAGATCGAACGATCCTTTCATAGACAGAACAATCTCTACAAGCAAATTCTGGCGGACTCTGGTGATAATAATAATCACCACGATCCTCCAACTGGTTCTAGCGATTCAGAGGTATCATCAGATACATAATCAGAGATGACGGCTCCAAAGAAGCTTAGTGATTACTCACAGCCAAAGCTTACAGATTTTCCACCTCACTCCCACTCCGGCTCTTGATGGGGTACAATTTTAAATTAAACACCAATTTATAACGATGATAGAGAGGAAGCAATTTAGTGGAGCTAAGGGTGAAGACCCAAATCTTCACGTTGCCGAATATTGTCAATATTGTAATACCACCAGGCAAGCCGGGGTCACACAAGACCAAATCAGGGAGATTCTCTTTCCCTTCTCTTTAACTGGAAAAGCTAAATTGTGGTTTAATGGCTTAAATAGAACTGCACTTGGTATAACTGACTGGGAAACTCTTGTTTTGAATTTTTATAACAAGTATTATCCTGCAAAGAGAACAGCCGTACTACGGAGTGCGATTTAGAACTTTGCCCAAGAAGCCAATGAATCTTTATATGAGGCTTGGGAGAGGTTCAAGGACCTACAAAGAGAATGCCCCCGCCATAATTTAGCACAATGGCAGTTAATCCAAGCCTTTTACAATGGCATTGGAAATTCTTCTAGAATAATTTTAGATTCTGCAGCTAGTGGGAGATTTATGAATCTTAATGTTGATGATGCAGGTCAGGTTATTGAAGATATGGCAATACATAATTCCTAATATGGAAATCCTAGAGGCTTTGCTAACAAGGGGAAGCATAGTGTTGACTCTGTATCCTTTTTGCAAGCTCAATTGACCTCTATATGCCAAAAATTAGATAATCTTAGCACTGCCAATATAGCTAATGTTTCTGCAATTAATAATAATGCTAATGAGGCTTTCTGTGAAACTTGTGGAATTATAGGTCATTGGGAACAAGATTGCAGGAGTTCCGTGGAGCAAGTTAATGCCTTTCAAGCTTATATGCAAAATAACCCATACTCCAACACCTACAATCCTAGATATTGGAATCATCTGTATCTTTCCTACCGGAGTACTAATGTTCAAAATCCACCACCACAAGAACCACAGGCACCACAACAACAGCAGCAGAAATATTACCATCCCAATGCTGGCACCAACCACAACAACCCTCCTCATCTTCCGACCCTTCTTTGGTGGAAATTAGAGCGATGTTGGTTAATATGCAGAAGCACATGGAGAGTAGAGATGCGCAAATTGATTCAATTCTAGCACATAATAAAATTATAGATAATCAAATTGCGCAACCTTCCGCTACTCTCCAAGCCCGTCAGCAGGGAGCTCTGCCAGCACAACCGACCAGGCCTACGGATCAAACCTATGCAATTACTCTAAGGAGTGGTTCAAACTATGAAGGGCCCCCTATGCCCAGAGTTGATGAACCTGTTTTATTAAATAATGCTAATCTTGATTCCGTTAAACCAAGCAATGTACCTAATAGCCCTGCAGGGCTAAAGCATAGCACTAATATATCTAATTTAACATTGCAGGCTACGACTCCAGAGAAGGTGGCCACTCTAGATAAGAGCAATAATTCTCCAAAGCCGATTATCAAACTTCCATTCCCCAATCGTCAGTTGAAAACAAACTTGGATAAGCAGTTTGGTAAGTTCCTGGAGATGGTAAAAGATTTGAAGGTAACAGTTCCCTTCACTGAATTAATCACACAAATTCCTTCATATGCAAAATTTATGAAAGAAATATTGACAAGAACAAGGTCTATTAGTGACGTAGAGACAGTAGCTTTCACTATAGAGTGTAGTGTCGTACTTAAGAATAAATCTCCACCTAAATTAAAAGATCCGGGTAGTTTTTCTATCCCTTGTCATATAGGCAATCTAATGATTGATAATGCATTGTGTGATTTGGGTGTTAGCGTTAGTGTCATGCCATTGTCTGTGTCTTCCAAGTTGAATATGGGTAAATTAAAAGCTACTAATATTACTCTACAAATGGTCGATCGTTCTTTCAAATACCCCTTAGGTGTTTTAGAGGATGTCCCCGTTAGAGTAGTTAAATTTTATATACCTGTTGATTTTTTTGTTCTTGATATGGCTGAGGATATGCAAACCCCGATCATTTTGGGTAGACCATTCCTCAACACTACAGGGGCAATCATAGTTGTGAGAAGTGGCAAGTTAACACTATCAGTAGGGGACGATAAAATTATTTTCAATCTTAATAATACCCCTAAAAGCCCCATGACAGAGGAGAAATGCTTTAGTGTTAATGTGGTTCATAATTATTCTAACAAGCCCCAAGCTCTTGAAAAAGATCCCTTGGAGGCGGTATCTTGTGTTGCATCCCTTTCAGAGGAGATAAACAAATGGCAGAAGGAATTTGATGCAATAGAAAGAGCCCTCTACACATATGACCTTTTAGTTGCCAACGCTAGGGGGCAAGCACCACCAGTTCCACCACCCCAGCCTCAGCCTTAGCCCGAGGTGGCGTTTTCTCCACCTCGCATGTCTCACTCCGTCCCCTATGTTAACTCTGACCCAGTTTGGGATCTTCAGAGTATAGGTCAGGCCTTAGGACGTATCGAGCATTCTCACACTAACCTTAGGAGGATGGTAGGCTCCATAGACCAGAGGTTAGGGTACCTAGAGAGGAACCAGGGTAGATCTCTCTACCATATGTACGATGATTATGCTCGTCAGGGCAACATTCCCGACGATGCTATTTACCCTGACTGGTTTCAGCCTCCACCCCAAGGATACGATAGGGATCCCAC